GGAAAGAGGGAGGGAAGAGCTATGCAAGCAAAAGGAGCTTGGGTGCTGAACAGGGACAGATGTTTCAGATCTTGCAGATCTCTGTAGCCTTCTGATTCATGAGCTGTTCCATTAGCTCAAGGGATAGTGGGTTGTGCAGGGCTGAGCACGGGCAAATGGATTCCTCCAGAATTGCTGGTATGCCTGTAACACAGAAGATCAGCATAATTCTATATGGTGGCACTTTTATTCAAGATGCAGAACAAAGTAAAAGAAATAAAGATTTCTCTATCTACATTACATACTTGATAATTATAAAATAGCAAAGCCTTTCTCTCATAAGGTGGGAAGTGCCAGGGTTGTGCTTAGTCCTGCAGTCTTTATTCAGTCCTCTTGTCTTTCGGTACATGGTCACACGGTATTTTTCAGTGACGGAATACCTTGATGATAATGATTTACTTTCTAGAGGCTCTATGGACTTCCTTTGCTGATGGCAGAGTCAGACTGAGAATAGATAACTCATGTCCGCAGACTCCCATAACAGTTCATCAGATGTTCAAGGAGAGCATAGAAAAATATGGATCCCTTGATGCTTTGGCCAGCAAAAAGAATGGAAAGTGGGAGAAGATAACTTTTTCAGAGTATTATTGCCTCTCCAGGAAAGCAGCCAAGAGCTTCTTGAAGGTAGGTACAGGAAACAAAACCAATTCCTTTTTTTCCTTTTGTCTCTTTAAAAAAAAAACCCAAAACAACCAAAACCCAAAAAAACCCCTCAACCCCCCCCAAACAAACAACCCTCTCCCCAAACCCTACACCAACCAAAAAAAAAAAAAAAAACAAAACCACAATGTAAGAGGCTTTTCCTGTTAACTGAAGATCAGCAGTCATATTCTTTATTGAAATAATAATGATGAAAATTGGTTTTAGTCAAAGAAAGAACACTGCTGTCAAGGAAACTTTACTGCAAATGAAGAGCTGCTGTGTTACACTTTCTCACTGGGCCATGGGTAGAAATCTCAGAATAAGGCCTTAAGATTAAAAAAAGAAAAATAGGTGAAAGCAGCACTGTCATGAATTCGGCAAGATAAAGACAAATTTTAAAACATTCTAAACATAGGGTAAGATTAGTACTCATGCTCCTGTTCATATTGAAAGGTTCTGTTTTCCTCGCTGTACTGGACAGCAGAGCTCAACCAGACAGGAGAAGGTAGTGGAAACTGTAGATCATGTTAATTGCTGGTAAATACTGGTTTTGCTATGGATATCAACACAGAGGTGTGCATGGACATGCCTTGTCAATACCGAAATAATAAATAAGTCAAAACTTGCCGTGGTTTATAATTGCATGTATGTTTTATGCTATATGTTCTTCTCCAGTGTGCCTATGTTATATAACCTTGTGCTTATTATTTTTAAGCTTGGTCTTGAACGATTCCACAGCGTAGCAATCCTTGGATTTAATTCTCCAGAATGGTTTATCTCAGCTGTTGGAGCTGTTTTTGCTGGGTAAGAACTTTTTGGTTTGGTTTTATGGGAGATTTGGGGATTTCTGTTTTGCTAGGTCTGGAAATGTAGCAAATTGGTATTTGGTGTCATATCTTGGAAGTTGGCTGCAGCTGATTAGCATGTTCAGTGACCTACTGGAGTGTCATAGCTTTCAGTATAACCGAAATAGTCCAGACGCTCATAAATTGATCCTGTTTGCTATGGGTTTAACTGTCACAATCACACACAAGCTATTATACAGTATCTTATTACTGGAAGATGTGGGAAGCAGATGAGACTCCCAGTTTTATATTATTGATCTTTGTCTACAGCAAGATTGTTCAAGCAGATGAAGTGACAGATAAATACTAACTAGCCTGATTCCTTCTGTCCTGATATCTGTTTATACAGTTTGGATTTTATCTTTTAAACTGTTTCTGTACCAGTGAAATTCAGAAAGAGGATGTAAGTGGTTTTTTACCACTTCCTAAGCTAGCTCATGTAGCCTCAGGTAGGTTAAAATGCTGAATCCTAGCCTACAACGTATTCTGCTGAACAGAGTTCAGAGATCAGTTTTTGCAGTGTTCGTATATCAGAGGTATTCGTTTATACCTGAATACTTGAAACAAACATGACAGCTCCGCATCTTCATACTCTTTCAGCTTTTGTCTCATCTTTGATTATTCTCTTTTTTTGATACTAAGTGCATGTATATCTGTGTGTATGTATATAAAGATATGTTCTTATATATATACATTTTTGATACAGAGGAATCGTCACAGGAATATATACAACCAATTCTCCAGAGGCCTGCCACTACATTGCTCATGACAGCAAAACCAATATCATGGTTGTGGAAAATTGGAAACAATTAGACAAGATAATGCAGGTATAAGGTGGCTGAATGTTACTTAAAAGCTGTAATTTTCTGATTTCTTGATGCTGTATTGGTCCCAAATGCCATATTCACTTACCTGTATTGTGAAACCTCTCATGGGAGTGTTCTTATTCAGAAATCTGGTATCTGGTGTTTGAGCTATGGGGTACCTTGAGGCTCTGTTCTCTATAGTGTCTGTGGCTCATGTCTAAGCAGTTCTGATTTTTCTCTGCAGCAGAGAGCTCGCTGCTTGGTTCACTGCAAACTTACCTGGAAAAAACCCCACATTTTGATCCCATGTTTATAATGTCACCACTTGATTCTGTTTGGAAAAACGCAGACCACTTGACTGGAAGAGGTTAGGATGATGCAAGTTTGTAAAGGCCTTCCATTTAAATACTAAGGATGTTAGTGTTCAGAATTTCCTCTCTCCAAAATGTCATATTTTCCTGCTTGTAATATTACCCATTAAGGCTGTTGAGTTTACTGCACTTTGATAGCATGATGGTTGACATGAGATAGACTTTAGTGAGAAAGGAGGAGGCTCTTTAAGTGAACAGTCACAATTCTGACAAAATTCTTTGGCAGCTTTGAGTGGGTTTCTGCAAGGGTGCCACATGAAAGACCAACTTGATGGAAAGATCCCTGGTGCATGACTTGGGAAAGGAGCACAGGGTAGCTCCTTGGGAAGGGCTTGTCTGTCAGTAAGATGTTGAGGGAAGCCCGTGGCTGGAGATAACTTCTGAAACTCGCATGAAGTTGCACTGTTTGCTGAAGCAGGAGGGCCCATCATCATGGAGTTTTTGGCCAAAAAACATACCTGCCAGAGAGAAAATATCTGTGGATTTTTTTTCAAATGTATTTCATATAAGTTCTACAAAATACAAAGCAATTAATGTATTTTTGTTTTGTATGTGATTTGGAACAAGAGAGACTTTTATAAGTATTCTGGAAAACCATACAATCAGACAAACCTTCTTGCAGTGTCATTGACTAAATACTAGACTATGCTGTCATGAATGTGGAGAGAAGAGTATAAATTGAAGAACTCAAGGGATTTGATTTATATACATTTCTATCTAGAAAAAGAAAAGACCACTCTGGCCAATGCTGCTTTAGCCAGCTGAATGGTTTTCAAACCTTTTTTTTTTTCTGGAAGAACCTGAACTGAAATAACATTTCAATTGTTATCCTTCTAACAATATATATATATAATGGCTACTGTCAAGCCAATGGTTTTGTATTAGTGCAGATTGATCAAGTCAGTTCAGAATGTGATTAATTGAAAGGGATCTATGATGCACTGGGTCCCACAAAGTTCAGTGAAATGAATAT